ATAATTCGTTAATAGGGTTTTATTAATTAGGTATTTAATATTTTAATTTGATGATTCGATGACGAAGCAAATCGTTAATTACGTGCGTAAGTGCGTGACTGCTTAAGGTTTTTTTTATTTATTTAATTAAAAAAAAAAAATTTTCGTCGATTTTTTTTTTTATAATAATACGTGAAAATTATCATCATCATCATTAATAATTTAATTGCGGTTTTAAATAAATATGCGTGTATTGTATTAATTGTCTTTTAATTGCCATTATTGCAAAAGTTCGACAAAAAAAAAAATTTTCCATTTTTATCCTTTGGGTATTTCATTTTCCTATTTAAATAATCCGATTACTGTGTTGTAACCTTCGGTTTAAGAAAGAGAGAGAGGGGGAGGGGTGGGGAAAGAGAGAGAGAGAGAGAAACATTCATCGATCATGGCTAATTATTATTATTATTATTTTTATGATTTCTCTAAAGCGTTGGTTGACATTGAAAAAAAAAAAATCAGGTTCTGGTTGGTAGGTTTCGTAGTGATAACTCGTAGACGTTATCAAAAAAAAAAAAACTCGGGGAAATATTTTTATTTTTTTTTCAAACGTTGCCTACCTTGTCGGTTGTTTCCAAACGACTTTGTTTTTTCCCCCCGAAAATATTTAGTTCATTGTCATAGTTAATTAATTAATTAATTTTTTTTTTTTTTTCAGATACGGGACATTTTAATTCGTCTGCTTTTCCGGATTTACCAGAATCCCCGGATTATTTTCATACCAGTTTGATAATACATTTCGTTAAACACGTCAGCAACAATAAATGGAGACTCTGGTCCGTCACGTTTCATCACACGGATGGAAAAGAAGTTTCCTGTTGGTACAACGCATTGGAATCCGCTTTGAACAGAGAGGATCGTCCGAAAAATTTCCTAGTTTTTATAAATCCCTTTTGCGGAAAGCAAAAAGGAGTCGAGATATATAATAAAACGGTTAAACCGATATTGGAATTGGCAAAAGTCGACGCGACGGTTATCGTGACCGAGCACAACATGCATTGTAGAGACGTCATATTGTCGAAGGATATAAAAAAATTCGACGGTGTCATGGCCGTGGGAGGGGACGGTACCATATCCGAAATAATAAATTCACTCATAATAAGAATGATACGAGATGAGAATCAAAACGAAAACGAATGGAATCTCGATATACCCAAAGTTAAAATACCGGTGGCTATAATACCCTGCGGGAGCACGGATTGCATAGCCTACAGTCTCAACGGAACGCAAGATAGAAAAACGGCGGCCATATTTGCCGTTTCCGGTTTTCGTTGCGGTCTCGACGTGTGCAGTGTTTATTCACAAAAAGGTTTATGCCGTTATTTTCTCGGGCTTTTAGCCTACGGATTTTTGGGAGACGTTTTGAAAAAAAGCGAAAAACACAGGTGGATGGGTCCGAAACGCTACGATTACGCGGGATTTTTAACGGCTTTGAAAAATAAAAAATACTACTGCGAAATAAACATGGTTCTGTCTCACAGGGCTCCCGGAATCGGTCCGAAATGTTACAGCGGATGCGAAATATGCGAGCAAACAAATCGCGGTGGTAAAATGGTCGTCGATTCAAAATCTAGGTATCAGGAAAAAAATTTATCCGCCATAAGAAACGATTTGAAAATAAATTTCAACGGGGAGTGCAAGGGAAACGTTGAGAAAACCGTTACGGTTCGCGGAAAATATTTCGTCGTGGGATGCGCGAACGTGTCTTGCGCTTGCGAAAGGAGTCCGAACGGTTTTTCCCCGTATTCTCACGTCGGAGACGGGTCGATGGACGTACTACTCATAAAACCTCAATCCCTTTTCGACATCGGTAGAATATTGTTGAGATCGAAAAGCAAAACCCAAGCTCTCTCCGATTTATCATTCATCGACACGTACAAAGCGAAAGAAATGAATTTGAAAGTTTTGGATAAGAACATGGAAGTCGTTACGAGTGCGAAAGATGGAGAAAGGTACGTGGGAGCAAGCGTTTGGAATTGCGACGGAGAACTCGTTTTCGATTCGAACATAAAAGTCAAAAATAACAGTCAGTTGATACAGGTTTTCACACGGAGAATTTCCCCGAATCCGTCGAAAAATTCTTCGTGGTGTTGGAATTGTTACAATTGCTCAAAAAGTAAAATTAACGAAAACTGTTAAAGAAAAAGAGAAAAAAAAAATGTAGTAAAACAAACAAGGAAACAAACAAACAAACAAACAAAAAAGTTTTTTTTTTTTTTAGGTAATTCGAAAGATCTCGACAAACGTACTACTACTAATATTATTATTGCAACATGATGTTCCTCTTTATGTATTATTATTATTATTATTTGTTTGTCAGCGGTGATTATTTTTTTTTTTCGGGGGGGGGGACGGGTAGGGAAGGGAAAGGGGGAGGGGTGTGTGATAATGATCGTTAGCAGCTTTCACAGTATTAGTTTAGCATCTTGCCAGTGTTTGTTTGTTGTTTAGTAATTTCCCGTTTTTTTTTTTTTAAATGTTATTTTGGTCGGTCTTCCTCATTAATCATTATTTATTTGATTCGATTATGGTTAATATTATTTATCGATCGATCGACCGATCGATAGATCGATATATCGATTTCGTCCGATGATATTATACTCTTAGAAGAAACAAGAAATTTTTTTTTTTCGAACTAGTCAATATTTTCGTCGCAAAATCACTTTTTACTATCGTTTTTTTTTTGTTTGTTGCGTTATTAATCATTCGAAAGATGATGATGATGATGATGATGATGATGATAATAATAGGTTATTTGTTTGTCGTTGGAAAAGAAGTTGTATTACGTAAGCGGTTCAATCAAATCGTATTTAAAAGTATTATTACGAAAACGTTTGTGTGTGATCGTTTGTTGTTGTTATTATTATCATTATCGTAACGAAAGCAGCAGTAAAAGTACGATGATGATGATGATGATACGAGAGAACGGAAAGAAATTTTTTTTTTTTTAAGTAATAATAATAATACTAGTCTGTTAGTCGAAAAAAATTTTTTTATTGTTAAATGAAACCAAAAAGCGAATGGTTAAATTTTGTGATGTAATTTTTATATAAATTTTTATTTCTCTATCCATTATTATTATTATTATTAATGATGATGATGATGATGATGATGATAATTATTATTATTATTATTATTTATGATAATAATTTACGCGGTTGAGAGTGATTGATTGATGAAAAAATGAACGTGAATTTTTTTTATTATAATTAATGATGAAAACGTGTACTTATTAATTTAAGTAGTAAAAAAAAAATAATAATAATAATAATTAAAAATAGTATTCGAATCGTTTATTATTATTAATTAAGAGGGTAGAGAGAGAGAGGCAAATGGAAGGAGAAAAAAGGAGAGAGGGAGAGAGAGAGAAAATTTATTTACACGCAGCAGTGATAACATATCGAATTTTTTTTTTTATGTATATCCGTTAGTATTTTATGTTTATTTATTAAAATGATATAAATCTTTAAATAATTATCACTATTATTATTTATTTATTATAAATAAATTGTTGTTATTAAATTTGTTAATCGGCCAAAGAATTATTATCGATTTATTAATTTTTTTTGTGATTAAAATTGTTTATTTTTATTATTATTATTTTTTTACGCGCGTGTTTATGATTTAAAATGGAAGAGAAATAAAAATTTTTGGAGGGGATTGTATATTTCCCTTCCCCTCCTCCACCTCCCGGGGGGGGATTTAAAACCCCCCCAAAAAAAAACAGGAAGAAGAAGAAGGGTATTTAGCGTGAAATTACACTAAATTGCTCAAAAAAGGTGATGATTGATATTATTATTATTATTATTATTAGTATAGGTACGAGAAAACTTATGTAACTGTGAAATAATTAATAATAATAATAATGATAAGATTTTATTGAGAGAAATGAAAAAAATTTTTAATAATTAAATTAATAAATTTAAAATGAAAAAAAAAAAAAATGGCGATCGTGATCGTGTTGATTAATTCGTCGCCATTTTGTTTTTTTTTCCTTTGCAAGAGGGAAGAGAGGAGCAATAAGAAAAAATTTAATTTTAAATTTAATTTTTTAAATCCTATTTTTGATTCGACTGTGATCGTGTCTTTAGATACATAATAAAAAAAATGTATTTAAGTATTAAAAAAAATAAAAAAAAGTCGTTAAACGTTCTTTAATATTAAATTTATTTTATACTCATTATTATCATTATTTTATTTTAAATATATTCAATTTTTGATTTCATTTTGTTTTGCATTTGTTTGTTTTTTCTTTTTCTTTCTTTTTTCCAGCCGTGATAAGGACGTTTATCAATAATTTCCCAAAAGCGATGAATTTAAATTTAAAAAGAAAATTCAAAATTTCCGTTAAAAATTAAATTGGTGTTAAACAAAAAATCTAAACATGAAATTTAAGGCGTTTTCCGTTTCGTTTTTTACGTAAAAAAATCCCAAATTTTCGCAATTTTTTTTTTTTGTACTCACACAAACGAATAATTTCGACATATTTCACACACGCACGCACACGCACGTACACACACGCACGCATTTATTTGCCGTAAATGGTAAATCAAATACGCCCAATGTAAATTTTTTTTTTATTTCTTATTTAGTAGTACGAGACTTGGATTGATTTAAACTTTCCAAGTTCTTCATTTGCTCAAAAAAAAATCAATGGATAAAATAATAATAATAATGGTAATTCTATTAATCCCCCGAGTTTAATAAAAAAAAATTAATAACAAAGATTTTAATTTTTTTGTCTTGCATGGAAAACTACTTTCCATTTTGAGTTATATCCTTTCAAGAAAAAAGTAAGTAACTCCTCCCAAAAAAAAAAAAAATGCGTTCCCTTGTTTTGTTAATCTCGTGTGCCCACTTTACATTATTATTATTATCATCTCACCTTTTATTTATTTATTATAATTATTATTTAAATTTTTTTTTGTTTCGTTCGTTTCCTTGTTTAAACAAAACGATAAATTAAAAAAAAAAAATTGAAATTCTTTATTTGTTACATACGATTTCGTATTACATAAACGGTAATAAAATTAATTGTTTTTAATCATTATTATTATTATTATTATTATTATTATTATTTTATATCCAGTAAATTTCGTAACGTCCTTATTTTTTTATTTCTCTTCCAATCATCCCACTTATTATATTTTATTTTGTTTCTTAATAAGGTACGATTAAAAAAAAATAATTTATTTATTTAAAACTGAAACATTTTTTTTTTTTTTTTTGTGGTCGATGTATATCGATTTTAAAAAAATCCAAATTAAATTCGATTAATCGAAAAAAAAAAAAAAAA